AAGGTTTTGGGCTCATTTTGTCCTTCTCAGGGGGCAGCGCTCATCTGCGCTTCTGAGGAGGTCGCAAGAGGCCCCAAGATGGCCCCAAGAGGCCCCCAAGAGGCCCCAAGAGGTCCCCAAGAGGCCTCCAAGAGGCGCCCAAGAGGCCCCAAGAGGCTCCAAGAGGCCCCCAAGAGGCCCCCAAGAGGCCCCCAAGAGGCCCCCAAGAGGCCCCAAGAAGCTCCAAGAGGCCCCCAAGAGGCCCCACGAGGAGCCCGAACGACTCACACCAGGACGAGAGACCCCAACGACTCACACCACGAGGAGCCCGAACGACTCACACCACAAGGAAGGGCCCGAACGACTCACACCAGGACGAGGCGCCCGAACGACTCACACCACGAGGAGCCCGAACGACTCACACCACGACGCGGGCCCCGAACGACTCACACCACGAGGAGCCCGAACGAGTCACACCAGGAGGAGGGGCCCGAACGACTCACACCAGGATGAGGGGCCCGAACAACTCACACCACGAGAAGCCCGAACGACTCACACCAGGACGAAGAGCCCGAACGACTCACACCACGAAGAGCCCGAACGACTCACACCAGGAAGAAGGGCCCGAACGACTCACACCAGGACGAGAAACCCCAAACGACTCAAATCACGAGGAGCGCTTTCTCTCCCTCCTCCTCCGCCTCGTCCTTCTCCCGCTCCCCCCACAAGGAGGATGTACAAGGAGGCGGGAGGAAGGAGGAACAGGGGAGATATGCGGGGCCAAGCGGACACACGGCTGAAAAACACGACTGTCGGCATGCTTCGCAAGAGTTGCTGCTGTGAGATGGGCTGGTGGGGGTACGCGAAGCGTAAAGAATTCTATTTGGGATCGGGTACACCCCCGCACACTTATCCCCGAGAGCGCCAACTGCACTGGGGGGCTGGGGAGTCCCCATGGAAAATCACCCTGGAACGGTTCCTGGTTGATTTTCCATCTGGGGCGCTCCCGCGAATCAGCTGGGGTGGCTTAGCCGAAACAGACGGCTCCCCGAAAACAGATTCTCTTTGTGAAGTGACGCCTTCTGGGGCTCGGGTACACCCGCCCACTTATCCCCTAGAGCGCCTGCTGCACTGGGAGTGCCCCAGATGGGAAATCACCATGGAATGGTTCTGGGGTGATATTCCACCTGGGACCCCCAGAGATTCTGGAGGAGGGGCCCAACCCAGAGAGAAGGCTCCCCATCAGACATTCGATTTGGAAAATGAGAACTTTTTGCGCTCGGGTACACCCGCCCACTTACCCCCGAGAGCGCCTGCTGCACTGGGGAGCAAAATCACCCTGGAACGATTCCGGGGTGGTTTTCCATTTGGGGCGTGCCCGCGATTCAGCTGGGGAGCCCAGCAGAGACAGAAAGCTCCCCAATTAGAGATTCTACTTGGGAAATGGCGACTCTTCGGGGCTCGGGTGCCCTCCCCCTCTTATCCCCGAGAGCGCCTGCTGCACCGGGGAGGGCTCAGATGGAGCAACACCCTGAACCGCGCTCCCGCGATTCACCTGGAGAGCCCAGCCAAGAAAGGAGGCTCCCAAACAAGATCTTCGATTCTTGAAATGACAACCTTTTGGAGCTCGGGTACACCCCATGATTTTAGCGGTCTCGCCTTTTCGGGCTTCCGAAACCCCAGGACGGGCCCATAACACCAAAGATCGCCCCAAGACGGCCCAGGGGGCACCCGAGAGGCCCGCAAGACGGCCCGAGAGGCCCTGTTTTTTTTTTTTTTTTCATCTGGACCCCCTCCAGCGCAGCAGTCGCCCCCCCACTTATCCCCGAGAGCGCCTGCTGCACTGGGGCCAACATGGATAATCACTCCAGAGCGCTTCCGGGGTGACTTTCCATGTGGGCCCCCCCTGTGCAGCAGGCCCTCTTGGGCGGGTGGTTTCCGAGCCCCCCCTGACCTGCCATTTTCCTCTCCGGGACGGGCCCCTCCGCCAGAATCTCTGGGGGTCCCACATGGAAAATCACCTGCAACAGGTTCCAATGATCACCCTGGAACGGTTCCGGGGCGATTTCGAAACCTGAGACGGCTCGATACCCACGCCACTGGGTCGCCGGGTCAGCAGTCCACCAGGTCGGCTGACCCACACCACCAGGTCCACCTGGTCAGCAAAGCGAAGTTAGCTGACCCACGCTCGCCACTGGGTCACCAAGTCAGCTGACCCACACCTGGGTCATTGGGTCACATTGTCAGCCGACCCACACCACCGAGTCTGCCCATTCCATCTCTCGCACACCCTCGAAATCCAACTCTCTCTTATAGCTGTCCACGAACTATATTAGCTCGGTTATCGATCTCCCACCCCACTGTATATCCCCACTCCCTGTACTCGACCCTCTGCTTCTAAGTACCTATCTACTCAGTCTCCCGAATACTATGCATACACATAGACGCACACACACAATATGTGTTCCTTCTCTGTGGTGCCGTGCCTGGGCCGTGGCCCGCCTCGCAATGCCGACGGCACTGCGGGGTGACGAGATGCCCACAAGATCCTGCAACGCCCGCTCTGGGCAAACGCCGTTGCGTGGAGCGCCGGCTCTGTCGATCGTGAAGGTGGTCCGCGTCGGACTAGATTGGGCTCGACACGGTGGAGGTTTTAGATAAGGGTGCATTCGATAAGGAGCCCAGGGTCTCGCGACCGATGGGCGGCCAAACGTGGGCCACCCGCCTCGCCTTGAAACAATGAGAAATGCGCCAGGGTCTGGGCCCCAGGAAGACGTTCCTTATCCAATGCCGCCCCCTTACCCGTCGGTCGCAAGAAACGGGTTGAAACATTAAGCAGGAAGGCGTTGGAGGCAGATTGGATGACCGCCCGCCTCCTGAGGAGGAGGGAAGAAGGAAAGCCTCTCGACCCTTGAAGTAGGAAGGCGCCTAAAGTAGATTGGGATCCTACTGTCAACGACAGGCATGTAAGTACTCGAAAAACTTCCCCTCAAGAGAGCGGTGCACCGCCAACAACGTCAGCCCCATACATAGCCGCTGTCCCCGTGCTCAGCCGCCATCAACGGACAACCGCAATCCGTTGCTCCCTGCCCTCGATTCCTTCCCAGTTCTCCCCGGTCCCTCCCTCTGATCTCAATTCCTCATGACTGAATCTGATATGCCCTACTCCCCACCATCCAAAATCCGCCGACCCTGTGTCGGCGTGTGGAAGAGGGTTTTCGGTTTTTCTCTGTTCTCTCTGAGACTGTCCTCTCTGCCTCCTGTTCGTCGTCGTCGTCGCTCAACCCTCCTTCCCAGGCCTGATCGCAAGGACGCCCCGATACAACGCCTCTCCCGGGAATCCCGCGGCTTCACAAAATTCCAGAAAGACGTCGAGGGAAGCCCCTTCCCTTTCATCCCTTCCCCGCCGGGGGGGCGGGGGTCCTGGGGAAGTCCCGGGTCAGATACGACGCCTTTCCGGGAACCCCGCGGCTCCACAAAATTCCAGAAAGACGTTGAGGGAAGCCCCTGCCCTTTCATCCCTTCCCCGCTGGAGGGGTGGGGGTCCCGGGGAAGTCCTGGGGAAGTCCCGGGGATGTCCCGAGGCATATTGCCGGGTCAGATACGACGCCTCTCCCAAGAATCCCGCGGCTCCACAAAATTCCAGAAAGACGTCGAGGCCCTCGAGGCAACCCCTTCCCTTTCATCCCTTCTCCGCCGAGGGGGGGGGGCGGGGGTCCCGGGGAAGTCCTGGGGAAATACTGGGGAAGTCCCGGGGGAGTTCCAGGTCAGATACGACGCCTCCGAGGAATCCCGCGGCACCATAAAAATCCACAAAGACGTCGAGAAAAAACCCTTCCCTTTCATCCCTTCCCCGCCGGGGGGGGGTGGGAGCCCGGGGAACTCCTGGGGAAGTCCCGGGGATGTCCCGGGTCAGATACGACGCCTGTCCAGGGAATCCCGCAGCTCTACAAAATTCCAGAATATAGAGTGCTCCTCCTCCTCCTCCTCCTTCCTTCCTTCCTTCCGCCAGCGACGCGCTCTCCACTTGCCTGACCTGGACAGGCAAGGCGCCTTCTCCCCAGGCAGCACGCAGGCCTTTACTGCCAGTAGGAGCTGAGCCTACTCCCAGTAGGAGCCGACTGCCAGCAGGAGCCTACTGCCAGCAGGAGCCTAGTCCCAGTAGGAGCCCACAGCCAGTAGGAGCCTCCTCCCCCTCCTCCTCCTCCTCCTCCTCCTCCTCCTCCGCCTCCTCCTCCTCCTCCTCCTCCTCCTTCCCCTCCTGGTCGTCGTCGATGTCTTTCAGGGTCGGCGGCACCGGCCGTCAGGCCTTCACAATCTTCACTCCTACTTACTGTTCTCCACTCTGTTTTCAACTAGACATTATCTACGTAGTTACGGTCTATATCCTCTGTACTTCTCTTGCTACTCTCTACTCTCTAGCCTCCCTTCGGTAACCCTCCAATCCCCAGCATCCAGATCCGTTAGTTGCCACTCTCACTTCAATTCATTATACTGTCTCCTATAAACCGTCTGATCTTCACTCTCAACTCCCTCTTCTCTGTTCTCAACTGTGTCAGCAGGGTCGCTCGGACACAAGACCACCAAATTACCAGGTCACTGGGCTACACATGGTCACCGCGTCACCGGCTCGCTGGTCACTGGGTCGCCGGATCACTGGGCACCATGTCACTGGGTCACTGGTCACTGGATCACCAAATCAGATGGCCACAAAGTCACCAAGTCACCTAGTCATCGGGTCTCTGGGCACACGCGTCACGGGGTCACGACGGGGCGCCGGATCACATCATCACCGGGTCACTGGATCGGCGGGTCACCAAATCACAGTGTCACCAAGTCACTGGATCATGGATCCTGGGTCGCCAGATCAACAAATAAAACCTTTAGTTCGCATCACTTATCTCAAATATCCGCGGTCACAGGATTGCCATGGAGAAGCATACCACGGCATACCAAACAACAATTTGGCTTCGCTTCGGCGGATTCAAAACGGTGAGCGTTTGACGTGTAGTCCCGGAGTCCGTCAACAGCGTCTTGACATCGTCGTCGGAGCGTACCCGAAACACGTGCCCGACGAACGTGTTGATTGCGCCCTCCTGGGTGGGACTGATAACCACGTTGGTAGGCTTCTCCTCGCCCAGGTCGTCTACCCAATACACCTGAGGATGGGCGTGCACGTTCATATTTGGCGCCCGATCTCTAGGTGAATTGCAGCCGTACTCCAGAGATGGCCCCGAAGTTGCCTCAAGAGGCCCAAACGAGGGCAATCCATTTTCCCACGGAAGAGCTACGGTCGGGAACTTCGGCTCAGCTCGTCGCGGCGGTGGTCCCGAAGACGCCCGAGGCCCTGCAAGCTGATAGCGTGTCGCTGCGCTCCGTGGGAGGGGAGACTGAGAAAAGCTCGGAACGTTGGTGCTTGGAGACAGGGACGTACTTAGCGTGTCGCGCCGAAGCGTTGTCGAGATTCGCTGGGTTCCGAGCTCACCTTCGGAGCGTTACCTTGGTCTGTCTTTTCCTCGAAGCATGGATCTCACGTCGGGTAACAGTCGTTTGTGTGTACTCGTTTCATGTTACCATCGTGGCCCGTAGCTGTGCCCCCAGTGAATGGTGGCATCGCCACGTCGGATGGAAAATGCGTACGCAAGTCATGTCTACGGTCAGGAACGTTTACTTGGAACGTTTACTTAGCGTGTCGCGCCGCCGATTCTGGCCCGCGGGCTCCCTTCGGAAAATGATGTGTCAAGACTCGGGGGGGGCATCCATCACTAAATCCTGGAAAATCTCTGGGGTACCTCACTGGAAATCCCCTTGGGGCAGATCGGGTATCCTTTGATATTTCTGGGGCATGGGGCCCGTTGTTGGGGCTCCCGGGGCCCATCAACCCGCCTGCTCCCTCCCCCTCGCCATTTTCCCGTGCGACAGCTTCAGGATGGCCCAAAAGAAGCCTCGGAGGCCGTCAGGACGAGAGAGCTCCAAGACGGCGCGAAAGAGGCCAAGGCCCGCCCCGAATGGAGGGTTCCGGAAACCTTCACCTAAAAATATTGCCATTTCTTCGAGGGCAACTGTTTACTTCCACCACCACCAAGCGCACTACTCCCAATGAACATTCGGCGAGGAGGTCTCGTGTGAGGTTCTAGACTGCCGTGTGGGCGGCGCTGTCATAAGCACTATGCTAAGCAGAAGCCCGACGAAGGGCGAGCAAAGGTAGGTGGGCATCTTCGTGTCCCAGCCCGCCCCTACGCGACTTTTTACTTCCGCCAGCCTTCCGCTGGCGGAGACGGCCCCGTTTTACTTCTGCTGCCTTCCGCTGGCCTTCCGCCGAGGAACCGAAGCCAACTCCTTCGATCCTCGAAGACGAGGCCCTCTGGAGCGCCCCAAATGACACAGGAGAGGCCTCCAGAGACGCCGAGGGCCCAGGAGAGACCGCAGGCAGGTGGCATCGCCAAACATATCATGGCGAAGGACCCGAGCCCAAGTGGCGTCGTCGTCGTCCTTCAGGGTCGGCGGCACTGGCCGCAAGGCCTTCGCAGTATCCTGGCGACGGACCTAACCCGTGGCAGCCACATGCAACTCTGGCGCTGGACCTCCCTCAAGGGAGTCTGCCGGGTGAGCGCGCTCCGCGCGAGGGGTGCGCCGGGAGGGCCGGCGGCCCGCATGCGAGCGCGCCGCCGCGCGAGCGCGCCCCCTGAGGCCGCAGGTTGAGTTCCCACGGCCCGCGTGAGGGGTGTGCCGACACGGAGTTCCCCGGGTGCCACGGTCCTCGTGCGAGGCTTGCCGGGATGGGCGCGGCGACGCCATGCGTCCGTGCCCGGTGAGACTGTAGATGGGGCCCCAATGGGGCCACGATCCTCGTGAGGGGCGTGCAGAACTGGGCGCGGCGGCGCAATGCGTCTGCGTCCGCTGAGACCGAAGGCGGAGCTCCCTACAGGGCCACGATCCTTATGAGGGGCGTGCCGAACTGGGCGCCGCTGCGCCGGCCATGCGTCTGCGCCCATTGAACGCGGACGACGAGCCGCTTATAGCTGACCAGAGGATGTACGCAACGCTGAATCGAAAGGCGAAGGCTCAAGTCCCCACCCGCGCTGGGGGACAGTCCGCGGAAATTCCTCACCGCGGGTCCTGGCACTCAAGGCAAAAGCCAAGAGAGGAGGAGGGCGGGAATCAGCAGGGCGGCGGGGAAGGAAGAAGGGACCACGAACATGTAGACATGTATATATATATATATATATATATATATATATATATATTATCATACGCACCTCTCCGAGGGAGTAGAGCTCAGAGGCGATTAATGCGTACGCGCCGCGTCGTTCGCGATTTTTCTGGCATGGGAATTTCAACATTTTAACATAAAACCTTCAAAAACACATAGTAGTTTCAATGATTTTGACCCCGATTCTCAGAGAGTCGCGGTTTCGCCTGAGACATCCTCCCAAAATCGATCCCCGACGTACCTCTGGTACCCCAGCCCCTGCCTCGGAGCCTCCTGGGGGCCTCCTGGAACCTCCTGGGGCCTCCTGG